GCCACTGCACTCCAGTCTGGGTGACAGAGTGAGACTCCAACTCAAAAAAAAAACCACAAATGATAAACTTTTAAAAATGTAATTTCAAAAAATCCCACCATGGAAATGTACAGTTGTCTCTAACACACACACACACACACACACACACACACACACACACACACACACACACATCAGTCTTATCCAACAGAGGGAGAGAAAAATATTTCAAAAAGAATACTTTCAATAGATCTCTTACTATCAGATTTTAGTTAAAAGTTTAATGATTTTGATCTTTCATCTTATTTTGGAAATAGTAAATACTTTGTGTGGTGCTTTATACATTTTTAGAGGCTAATAAATTAATCAATTTTATGCTGTAATAACTAGACCATAAATTATGGCAATATCAAAGCTTAGGGTCAATAAACTTACTTTGATAAAAATGTCACTTACTTCATGATACACAGATGGTTTGGATAAAGATGGAATCGTAAAACTCAATACTTTGCTATGTCCTTGTTTGTCAACTATTTCCTACAAAAGTTGAAGAAAATATCTTAAGACACTTATTTTTTAAGCACACATTTAAAAGCTAAATGCAGATTGCTAATTTTTTTTTTAAAAAAGAACTAAGTAGAAAGGAATCGTAAAGTTAATTAATTGATGATACATTTAAAGGTCTAATCCAAGTTCATGTCCATGATGCTCACTGATCTACTTCCAGTTCAACTGACATCTTTCTTTGCTTTGCATCACTATCAGTAAACTTACCCTTAACTGAGAAAAAAATAAAATAAAATAAAGTTAATTGAAATCTTAAAACACGACAAGCTATTATCAGTTCTTCATAAACACCAATCATTAAAATGTATATCCTTTTCCTTTTAAAATATAATTAATATAGTTTTCAGGATGGCTGAGATACAGATACTATATCTTGATCTTCCTTATTAAAAAAAGCTACATTTCCTAGACTAATTAATTATTAAGTATGAAACATATAAAGAAAATGACCTTACATTTAATTTCCATTTTAAAAAGTACAAATTGCCAGGTGCCATGGATCATGCCTGTAATCCTAGCACTTTGGGAGGCTGAGGTGAGAGGACTGCCTGAGCTCAGGGGTTCGGGACTAGCCTGGGCAACTTGGCGAGACCTCATCTCTATAATAAATTTTTAAAAAATTAGCTGGGCATGGTGAAACACACCTGTGGTTTCAGCTACTCGGAAGGCTGAGGTGGAAGGATCACCTGAGCCCAGCAGGTCGAGGCTGCAGTGGCCAGGTGTATGCTACTGCACTCTAGTCTGGATGACAGAGTAAGACTCCAACTCAAAAAAAAAAAAAAAATTGCAGAAACCTTCAGTATCTAGAACATCATACTAATTAATCTACAAACTCTACTAGTCATATAAACTATATGTTAAAAAAAATCAGTGGCAGTGCAGTGTCTCCTGCTTGCAATCCCAGCACTTTGGGAGGCTGAGGTGAGAGGACTGCCTGAGCCCAGGGTTCAAGACCAGCCCAGGCAACTAGGCAACACCTCATCTCTATAATAAATTAAAAAATTAGCCAGACATGGTGGTGCATGCCTGTAGTTCCAGCTATTTGGAAGTATCGCTTGAGCTCAGCAGTAAAGACTGCAGTGGCCATGAGCAAGCCCCTGCACTCCAGCCTGGGGTGACAGTGAGACTCCGACTCAAAAAACAAAGTCAACAGTGTAAACTTGCAGAGTTTATGGAACTGTGAATGATGAATATTAAAGCAGATTTTTCTCCTATATTTTTTGTGGTCAGAAATAGATCATTTATAGGCAATGGACCTTAAGTATAAAAAATTTAAATTGCAGCACTGATATTTTCAGATACTCCTATAAAAGAACTGAAATGGTCTGATTTTCAGCCTTCAATTAATCCATAAATGTATATTTACATAATTATATGCACATTGTGTACCCCGATCCCAATAAAAGTTATATTCAGGAGAATGAACTATGAGTCATTTGATAGGAAACACAAATATTAGTTTTACTAAAATGAAAAGCAGGCGCAAAGGTTGTGTATTAGATTTTGTCAACAACAACAACAAAATTTGTGAACTACGTTAAACACAAACCAAATTGTAAACTCCTAGAAGAAGAGCTTCAATGCATCCGCTGCTATGCACATTTCTGCTGGCTGAGACTGCAAGGTAGCACCAAATCAGTTCTGGGAGAAACTGCAGTGTAAATCGAAGCAGCTCCTCCTCGCCACTGCGATAGAACTCAAAGAGTTGGTGACAGACAGGTTCTAGCAACTGCAAGAGAGACAAAGTGTTAATTCAAAAACCAGGCTGTTTTTGAATGAAACTATTATATGAAACATAAAAGGTTTTCCCAGATTGGGAAATGCCTAAGTTGTAGAAAGGTTCTTTCTTAAATATCCTTTTATCTTGGTAAGATACATGTCAATATATAAATGAGGGGCTACAGGGTTGAAGAAATTGAACTGGGAATCCTGGGAAGTTACTGTCATATATCCCTCCTGAGTGTATAATTAGGCGGCACCTGACAACAATGATTGGCATGTGGGGTGGCGGAATACCTAGAGAGCCCGTACACCTAGATCTCTGTTGTAATTAACCATGGTTCATTGGCCCTGGATAATTTAAACATTGCTGTAATTTTGTTTTAAACATAACTTGGAGCCATCTATAAACATTTCCTCTTCCAGCACACCCCCAATATTATCCAGTTAATAGAGCTGACTGTACCTTTATAACAGACTTCAAAAAAAATGAGAAAGGCAAGATAAGATCCTCTCACAGGCGAGTATTATCTTAAAGTATATACAATGATCACACAAATCATAATATGTCAAGAGATTCACAGGGTACAATTTTCAAGAAAACTATCAGGCTATGTATTATTATATATATTTTCAACAAACCGTACCTCATTAACTTAGAGTTAAGTGAATTTACTATTTTCTACTAATAATAATTATAATAAACAGAAACTATTTTGTAGTGGATTTTTTTTTTTTTTTTGAGATACAGTTTCACTGTCACCCAGGCTAGAGTGCAGTGGCACAATTACAGCTCACTGCAGCTTCCACCCCCTGGCCTCAAGTGATCCTCCCACCTTAGTCTCCCGAGTCACCTGTAGTGACACTACAGGTGCCCACAAACATGCCTAGCTAATTTTTAACTTTTTGTAGAGACTAAGTCTCACTGTGTTGCCCAGGATGGTCTCAAGTGACCCTTCCACCTCGGCCTCCCAAAGTGCTGGAGTTACAGGAGTAAGCCACTGCACCCACACAGTTGTTTTTATTTCAAATAAAGCCTTAAAACATGGAACCAACCATGCTGCCCATTGAAGCTGGACTGGATTTTTAAAAATGTGGTACATATACACAATGGAATATTACACAGCCATAAAGAAGGACAAACATGGACTTCGCAGCAACTTGGATGTATTTAGAGTCTATCATACTCAGTGATCTATCACAGAAACAAAGAACAGAGTACCATATGTTCTCTCACTCATAAGCGAAACTTGAACAATTATCATAATACTATAAGAAAAAGATTGGCAGTAGTAGGAAACAGGGGAAGGGGGGGTGGGACTGGCAGATGAGGGAAACCGCCAGAGAAGGGAGGGGCACACCTCATCAACAAGGGTACTTGCACAATGAACATTTGTATACCAAACCCTGAATTGTACCCCACATCTTTAAAATAAAAAGATATAAAAATAAAATCTTAAACTATGATATATAAAGTAAACTGAGTAAATTAAAGTCAATATTATTTATAAAAGTTATAACAAAATTTATACACCAACAAGCATTGACTAAGTCAAACTAGTCTGTCTTACTGAAAAAATTATCCAAGCTTTTTTTTTTTTTTTTTTTTTTTGAGTTGGAGTCTCACTCCATTGCCTAGGCTGGAGTGCAGTGACACACTCATGACCACCGCAGCCTCAACCTGCTGGGCTCCAGCGATCCTTCCGACTCAACCTTCCACGAGTCGGAACAACAGGCACGGACTACCATGCCCAGCTGATTTTTAAAAAAATTTTATTGTAGAGACGAGGTCTCACCAAGTTGCCTGAACTGGTCTCGAACCCATGGGCAATCCACTCGCCTTGACCTCCCAAAGTGCTGAGATTACAGGCTGAGCCACCAGGCCCGGTCAAAATTATCCAACTTCTGACAGTTAATCTTCCACAAGGAGTATTTTTTCCACTCTCAAAATGGTCATTAGAGGGAAAAAGGTATGTACTGTGGCTATGGGAAGATAAGAGAAAACCAAAGGGGTAGCAAGCAAAGTCACCCCATTCATAGGCAGCAAGAAAAGTTTTTAGGGTAGGAATTTGGAAAAATGGGATTAGAGATTGCTGGAAGAAAGGCTGATCAAGGATGTTTAGCTTTCAAGGTGGAGTTTTAAAAAGTGTCTTTGTGGATCAGCATCAATTAGTCTTGCAGTGTGGCGTAACATCCCTCATCTCAAAATCCCTGGGAATGCACTGACCAAATCAATTGATATGGTTTAACAAATATCTGCAAAATTATGAAACCTCATTTGAAAATTTATTCAAGACATTTACATGAGCATGTAATTTTAATCAAAACATACTTTATAACCAGTTAAAAATGCAAAATAAAGAGAGCTTTTGCCTTAGGAAAGTAGAACTGAATGAAAACAGATTCAAAGGGGAGGTAGGAATATGTTGCAACAAGATTAGAAAAAATTATGCATTTTAAACCAACACAGATAAACACCAATATATGTGCAGTGTTTTACAGCTTGCAAAGGTCTTTCACATACATGAACCTGTTTGATTCCTATAACACTGTATAGCAGAATATGATTATCCATGCTTTCCACATAAGGAAATTGAGACAAAGAGGCTGTCTATCCAACATGACCAAAATCACAAGGTTCTTAAGTGTCTGAACTGGAGCCAGGTCTCCTAACTCCTTTACATACATATCTGAAAAATGTCAAAAAATAAATAAAGTGATGCACGATGTGGGAAATATAGGCAGTGTTTGATATAACTAGTCTGAATATATTTGAGGCAAGCAATGGAGTATTATAAAATGTGCTGTGTTTCTAGTGTCCGGGTTGCATTTTCAAATGTATTTTCTTGTGGAAACATTGTCATATATGGCGGTTATGTTTTACTGTACCATTAAGAGAGAACTGCACTTCAAGTATATTTTTATGTGGTAAATAGGTGTTTTATGGGTCAGATGAGAACCTAATCACCAACTATCTTCTCTCCATTCTAAAATACATTGAGTTCTAAAACAACTAAGCTACACATAAATTTTTACAACAATCCATTAATAAGTAAAAAGTCTGTATCCGAAAAGAGATTTCTAGTGGTAACTGGAATGTCACACAAACATGCTCTTTAACAACTAAGTAGTGAAAATGTTCTCTGATGACTAAGCAAGGGAAGAGTCAAGTTTAGGCAAATTTAGAAAAGAAAACTTGTAAAAAAAAATTAGCTAGGCATGGTGGTAAGGTTACAATGAGTTATGATTGTGCCACTATACTCTAGCCTGGGGGAGATACAGCAGTCCCTGTCACAAAAAAAGAAAAGTTGGAAGAACACTAGTATTCAGGTAACAGCAGCAAATGGTACCTGACCTCCCTCGCTCTGGACTCCCTACTCCTAGAACCTCAAGGAGACTTTTTGTGGCTCTTTCAAAAACTAGCTGGCTTCATAACAGAGTTGGGCATTGTTAGCTTCTCCTCATATGCCTATCTGAAAGTTACAGTCAATTAAAAGAACCATTTGAGCAGACTGCATTGTACCCATATAAACTGCCTTTCTATAAGTTTCTTGAACATACCACATACACCTATCTCAGGTACAAAGGGTCTTTGTACCTGAGATAGTTTCTGTTTCCTTCTCCTAGAAAACTCGTCCCTGATTTTTTCTCTCTCTCTAATTTATTCAGATCTTGACTCAACTATTACCTTCTTTAGTCCCAACCCATACTTCCCCTGCTTCACTTTGTTCATCCTCATAGCTGACACAGCATTGCACATTTAGGTATTTGTTCAATGTCCATCTCAACTATTAGAATGCAAGTCCTAATCCATAAAATCAAAAATTTAGTCTACTTTGTTCTCTGCTATATTCTTAAGTGGTTCCTGGTACATTATATGTGTTCAGTAAATATTTATTAAATGAAAAAAACTGAATAATGAAAAAGTATTATTGGTATATAAAATCCAAATGTCAAATTAACTAAACTTCCAATAACACCAGAAACAATGTCCCAAATTTCAAAAGAAGACAATGATATCAATTCTTTAGAAATATTTCCAAATTCAAGAGACATGAATAAACACTTCTCAAAAGAAGATACACAGGCAGCCAACAGACATATGAAGAAGTGATCAGTCTCACTAATCATCAGAGAAAAGCAAACCAAAAACACACTGAGATACTACCTAATCCAGTAAAAATAGCCATCATTAATAAAACAAACAACAACAGATGCTGGCAAGGATGTGGAGAAAAAGGAACGCTTCTACACTGCTGGTAGGAATGCAAACTAATGCAGCCTCTTTGGAAGACAGTGTGGCAATTTCTGAAAGAATGAAATTGATTTTCCATATGACCCTGCAATTCCCCTATTGAGAATATACCTGGAAGAACTCAAATCATTCTACAAAAAAGATACCTGCACACGCATGTTTGTTGCAGCTCTATTCACAATAGCAAAAACATGGAACCAACCATGCTGTCCATCAAAGCTGGACTGGATAAAATAAAATGTGGTACATATACACAATGGAATATTATGCAGTCACAAAGAAGGACAAACATATGGAATTCACAACAACTTGGATGGACCTAGAGTCTACCATACTCAGTTGTCTATCACAGAAACAAAGAACAGAGTACCATATGTTCTCATTTATAAGCAGACCTTGAACAATTATCATTAATACTATAAGAAAGGGATTGGTAGTAGTGGGAAACTGCCAGGGGAGGGAGGGGCAAACCTCATCAACAAGGGTACCTGCATAATGAACATTTGTATACCTAACTCTGAATTGTACCCCATATCTTTTAAATAAAAACAAAACCAAAATGAAATATTTCCAAATTAAGACACAAAATATTTTGGGGTTTTTTTTTTTGTTTATTTGTTTTGTTTTGTTTTTGAGTCAGGGTCTCACTGTGCCATCCAGGCTGGAATGCAGTGGCATAATTACGGCTCACCGCAGCCTCAACCTACTGGGCTCAGGCAGTCCTTCCACCTCAACTTCCCGTTAGCTGGGACTACAGGTACATGCCACTACGCTCAGCTAATATCTGAATTTTTATAGGGATGAGGTCTTGCTATGCTGCCTAGGCTGGTGAGACACAAAATGTTCTAAACAGCAAAAGGGAGGAAACGATGCTAAAGTAGATTACACTGTTATATTTTAGAAGTACTTCCAAACATATTTGAAAGAATGAGTTGTCTTTTAAGGGTACAGAATACACACTGGCTTTACCACATGAATCAAAATAAAAACACAAAACAAACTTACACACAAGATCTCCTAAACCAGTGATTCTGAAAATGCAGTCCATGGACTGAGGACCATCCACAAACTGTTACCAACAACATAATTACAGAAATTGAGAGGAAACATTTAGAAACCTACAATAAATCAAAAATTAGCCAGGCGTGGTAGCACACGCCTGTAGTTCCAGCTACTTGGAAGGCTGAGGCGGAAGGATCGCCGGAGCCCAGCAGGTCGAGGCTGCGGTGGCCGGGAGCGGCCACTGCCCTCCAGTCTGGGCGACAGAGTGAGACTCCAACTCAAAAAAAAAAAAAAAAAAAAAGAAACCTTTATAGCAACTTGATATTGCCGCAATATCCAAGTGGGTGATGAGCAGACTTAGTGATCAGTTAGGGATTAAAAAATTTGTATGGTGTGAGTAGAGTATTAGTATTGTACATTGGACATACATATTGGCCTGTGACAGATTAGAATTGATTTTAGTGGTCATTCACCACAAATCGTTTGAGAAATATCGCTCTGAATGATTTGAACTATATTCATTAGAGTTGCCTGAATAAAAAGAATGCTATAAACTAAACTAGCCAATCAGAAATCTATCCTACAAATTCTTTCCAAAGTAACCTGGTTAATATATGCTTCATCAGAGAAATAATTTTTAAGCCTTTCAAAAATCATAAACAAGATTTAATTTGCTTTAAAAATGCACATAGCTATACTTACCTGGTAAGACAATTCTAAAATAAACATGGAAAACCTTAAGACACCTTCCACCCAAATACTTTAAAAAGTAAAACCCTTCAAGAAAACAGCCAACTCATACATTCTATGCAAAAGAAGAAGTTTTAGGGAAGAGGAAGAGACAAGCCAAGCACAATTGTTAAATTCAGTTATTCCAGTTAAAGTTTCTTGGCTTGTCAATAAAATCTCTTCTCCCTTCAGCACCGAAAATTCATGATGCACTTTATAGCATAATCAGTAGAAGCTGCGCTATTCCACATCTTCTCCAAAAGAGGCTAACAACCAAATAACAAAGGAACCTTCCTCACTGTGGCAGTTTCATCCCAAAGGTATGTAGATGTACACAGCACTGGACTCCAGGAAATGCTACCCTATCTCTGAGTGTAGTGTTAGAACCTCTCACATCACCCACCAAACTCAGATTCAAAAGGAATTATGCATCTCAGATCTTCCTCTTCCCCGACGCCACCTCTTTCTATTCCCCCAACACTGCCCAAGTGTGAGTTCTCAACAGATTCCTCCCAGGCTGTTGTCATAGACAACTTCCTGGTCTTCTTGCTTTCAACTTTCCCATTCACCAATCTATCCTCCACATAGCCACCTTCCTAAAACAATAATCTGACAAAAAGTCTAAACTGCTTAAGTGGAATTTGAGGTCCATCAAGGTGATGACCTAAACCTACTTTCCAGGCACAGTTCCTACCACAGCTTTGCCTTCTCTAGTTAATTACTGTACTAGCCTATGCACTTTATTCCAAGTGCCAAGCCTTTTTATTTTCCATGCTGTTTCTAATTCTTTTCTATGTCTACTATGAATGGTGGGATTTCCCAGCAACAGAATCTGAAGTACAGACTATTTTATCACCATCAAACCAAGTGGCTATATGGGGGGAAAAGAGAGAGAGAGATGCAGGGTGAAATGAAGAGGAAGGATTGGTAAGGGCAATAGCCAGACTAAACAATTTGCCATTCGTTAAACATCTTGTACTTTCTCAGGCCTCCATATACTATCCCCACTTTGTGGAATGTTCTTTTACCCTGCCACCTGGAAAACTTGTTTATCCATAGACAGTTAAATATTGTCTTGAAACCATGTGCTTACTTATTTTTTTCCCCCCTTCTCTTCCAGGACAAAGACCATGCGCTATTCAATTTGATTCTCTATTGCCTAGCAGAGCAGATGGCTCAAAATAGGCATGCAAATATTTGCTGAAATAAAATGAATGTAGTGACCCAGACTTTTCTAAGGTAAATCCAGAGAGAGAGAGAGAGAGAGAGAGAGAGAGAGAGAATGTTCAAGGAGATCACTTTTGGAATATAGCAAGAATTCTGTGTCTTAGCTTGGGAAATGGTACATTGGAGTTCATTTCATTATTGTTCTTTACATGCATACATTTAAACATATACATTTTCTACCCTTTTATAAGGTTATATCTCACAAGAAAAAATTAAAAATACTATGAATGCAATAAACCATAAGAGTACTTACCTCACTCTGTGGCTCCTGGATAACTTTATAGATAGATGAAACTAAAGAATTCTTGTCTTTCAAATTTGTGGCATAATTTGGTAAAGATGTTTCTGGTAGTGTCTAAACAAATTTAAAAAACATATATTTTATTTTTATGTAATTCCAGAAGAGGCAAATCCATAGAGACAGAAAGTAAAATAGTTGCTGCCAGTGACTGCACAGGAAAGGAAAACTTGAGACTGGAAGTGACTAACAGGTTCAGAGTTTCTTTTTGGGATGATAAAAATGTCCTGAATTAGACTCTGGAGTTGGTTGCAAAACCTTATAAATATACCAAAACCAGTGTATTTTTATCTTAAAATAGTGAATTTTATGCTAGTTTAATTATATCTCAATAAAAAATTCAAAATAAGCCGGGCTCAGTGGCTCAGCCTGTAATCCCGTGCCTTTGGGAGGCTGAGGTGAGTGGATTGCCTGAGCCCACGGGTTCGAGACCCGCCTGGGCAGCAAGACCTCATCTCTACAATAAATCAAAAAATCAGCCGGGCGTGGTAGCGCATGCCTGTAATTCCAACTACTTGGAAGACTGAGGCGGAAGGATCACCGGAGCCCAGCAGGTGGAGGCTGCGGTGGCCGGGAGCGGCCACTGCACTCCAGTCTGGGCAACAGAGTGAGACTCCAACTCAAAAAAAATAATAATAATTCAAAATAAAACAAAAACTATGTTTATCCCTTATATCTTTGCAGCATTATATAAGCTATATATCTCATTAGCTGTATTGGCCCTGCTTCTTTATAAATATGTTATATAAGAATCTGATGTTTCAACCTAAAAGCCACAGGAGATCACAGTAACTTCAGAGTTACATATTGTGAGCGTTAAGCTTGGTAAGGCTATTCTACTTTAGCAATTAGGGAGAAAATGTAAAGATTTCAAACTAGAGAAAAATATATCCACACTACCAACAAACTAGTTTTCCTAGTACCATTTAAAATATGAACAACTCATCACAGCTTGACAGCACTACTTAGTGACCAGAGAAGAATGGGAAGAGATAAAAACTCTGGGAGCAAGAAAGATGATTTGGGGATATAGTAGGGAAAACTGAAAGAAAAAGCCAAAACACTCCATTATAACAAATGATAAAAACCTATTCTTCTGGAACATACCTTCTTCTTATCAATATCTGTCTTCCAAGTCATTATTCTTTCTCACCTAAGTTACTTTCTTCAAACAATCAATGCAGGAGATACATGCCTCGAGACATTCCTAAGTCATTTCAAAATATACACTATTTCTTATGTCCCATATCCTCATATTTTAAGATTTAATATAAGCTATGGTTTGTGCACATTGATGTATGTATACATAAATAGGCAAAGAAAACTAAACAGTATAAATTTTTATAAGATATATGATGCATTTTTACTGTGAGCTCCTTGAGGGGAAGAACTGTCTTTTCATCTCTCCAGCCACAACACTCAGCACAAGGCCTTGTGCTCAAACCTTTGCTGAGGAAACTCATTATAAATGAACAAAATAAGAAATAAAAATTGTCACTGTTTACACTTCAGCAGATTCTTTAAAAGTAGGTCATATTTCACCTTAGGGTATATAAGTGAATAGATTCTTTTTTAAACTTAATAAAAGTTTTGTTTACCAGAATGGTAAGTAAATATGAACTATCTGCTAACCTTTCACCATTCTCCAGCACGCACACACACACAAAGTTTTATTGCAACTGCTTATATAAAGAAGAGATTAGGGCATTCTTCAATATTTCAAAAGCATGTAACAAAAGATCTCCAGGCAACATTCCATTTCCGTCATTTGATCAAGAGTAACCTAGTACTGGAGGAATTTATATAAAAGGGAATAATAGTCAAATAAATAGAAGAGTTCTAATCCCATGAATAGAAACGAGCCTAAGTTATATATAATATACATTCTATATATATGAAAAACACATTTTATTTGTATATGTCTAATATATATACCTAACTATATATGTGTTTAATATAAGTGCCTAACTATAAAAATTTAAGGATAAATGGATTGAAGTATAACTCCTTTAAAATTATTAGTGAATAGAAAGATTATTATAATTATATATTACTAATTATCTAGGCTAAGACTGGAACATTCATTTAAAACATGAGTTACAAGTTTCAGCTCATATGTCAATTGACCCTCGAGGTAATAAATTTTCTGTGAAATAGTCAAAGGCAAAAGGACAGCACTTTTCAGGAAAGACAAACTCTAGAAAATACCCTGGACCTAGGCTACCACCACTCGATGAAAGGAAGGGCATCCTAAAAATTATTGCAGTAACTATTGAGCTCTACTCACAATTCTGTCATTATTTCATTTTATGAATGTGGGAAAAGTTATTTTTGTCTACAGAAATGAAGAAAACGTAACTACTGTGTTTATGAATGGTGCCTTGAAAAACTTAAGATCTAAAAGGTCCAAATGAATGTAAATACTGCTACAGCAAACATTCAAATTTTCTAGCACTGTACTAATTCAAAGGTACTGGCCATCTTAAATACCAGCTAAGCTTTCTCACATTTCAAAGGCAAAACTGGAAATGAAAAGTAATAATGGAAAACTATGTTGGGAAATTATTCTTGGCAAAATTTGAAGAAGACAGATGCTTCGCACTAAAGTGTCATTTGGCAGATGGTTTTTTAAAAATGTAAGGAGGTGATATGGGTTGAGTGGAAAAGAATTAATGAAGATGGACAGATGGGTGAAGAACCAATAAATAAAACAAAAGCTCAACAACATCACATATAAAGACCTGATTTTGAGGTACATATTGCAATTCAGTGACTTATCAGAAAAATAAAAAAATTAGAAGTCTGGAAATTTGCTAGATAAATCTACACACACAATATTAAGAAAACACAATACAATCTGAAAGACATTTTACAAATAAATCTTTGAAAAGACAGAGCTTGAACTATTCTTGAAATCTTAAAATAAGGAAGTCCTACTCTAATCACTTTGTTGATATATAAAGAAAATACTAAAGAGAATGCATAGCTGGAGCAAATACTAAATAATTTTACCAAAAAAGGCTAAAATTTTTTATTAATTTTAAAAATTCAAAACAAAAGCTTTGCACAAAGTAATTGTGTTGTCTCTATACACTCAAGAGACTGTTGAGTGAGGTTATAAGGTTAGAAGTTCAGTGACTATGGAACAGTGTAGAGCTAAAAATCATCTTCACAAATCACCCCAGTGATGAAGCTACTGAGACCTGGGGAGGCTAGGTGACGTCATAAAACCACTCAGTGAGAGAATTAGGATTAGGTCAAAGGATTTCTGACTGTCAACCCACTCAATTAATCATAATGATCTTGACTTAATTAGTATCATGGTTATTAAACAACTAAGCAGAAGCATTTCTAAATATATTTGTATATTGATAAACATATATGTACACATACATATGTATATGTATGTCTATATATGTATGTACCCCAAAACTTCCTTTCTTAAATATTTTAACAAAAATATGTTTAACATCACATATCATTTCAAAAGACAAGTTACTCTAAACTTAAAAGATATGTTTCCAAGCACTTTTCTATTTTCTATTACCTCTGGCATGCTGTTGATTTTGCCTGATAATCTTCTCTTTATCAAACACAGAGCTGAATTTAACACACATTAACACAATTCAAAATAACACTCAAAATAATTCTCAAGAGTGCTTACCCAGTTAACCAAGGAAGAGGAAATTCACTCCTTTGAATTGGCTATAATATAGACTTGAAGGTAATTTAAAACATTTGTGATAGCAAGTGGATTGAAAACTGAGCAAATGTAATCTTGCAGGTGGGTAGTAAATTAAACCACTTTTTATTTGATGTGGGCCATGATTTCACTCCCTCCTCCCAATGGAAGTTTCCCTACTCTTGCATTAAATTCATGGAAAGTTGTAATAAAATATTGCTAGCTAGACAATGTGCTATACTGATAAAATATTGCTTAGTTAATACTTTCTATTTATGCATACTACGGTTTCTTTTAGTGGCGCTGACATACTCATTGCTACTCGGGTGCCATTGTTTCTAGGTTCTCTCAGTGAAAAAAAGCTATATATATAGAACTCACGAGTTCACACCAATTCTTTCTATTACAATCCAATACTTAGAATTCTTTCTTGCTTTTCCCCATTCTGTGATTATAATTCCTTTTTCAGAGAGAACTCTAACTCCCATTACTCTTAATATATTTCCTTATTTGTTCAATTAACTTATGGACTCAATGTAACCAGTCTACCAATGTGACCACTCTGGCTGACTCTTCTACATGCCACCTCTGCAACCCTTTGCCCCAAACACCCACTTCTTCAGATACCCACTTCCTCAGGGCATCCTACTGCCAATCCTGCTGCACTGCCCCTCATTCCTCACTACTGCATTTCCTAGGTGTCTACATATGCAAGGCAGGAGGAAAAGGGAATAAACAAACAGGTGAAAAGGGAAGAAAATCAATCATGATTTTCAATTGTTTACCTTAATAGTTTATCCTTCCCTATGATCCACTCTTTAATATGCCATCTTTTCACAACTGGCATCTTAAAGAATGGATAATTGGCTATATTTGCTCTTACAAATTTGACTTCACCTTTTTTTTTTTTGGCTCTAGAGTGCAGTGGCACACTCAGGGCCACCGCAGCCTTGACCTGCTGGGCTTAGGCAATCCTTCTGCCTCAGCCTTCCAAGTAGCCAAAACTTCAGGCATGTGCCACCATGTCCTGCTAATTTTTTGGTTTACTGTAGAGATGAGGTCTCACCAAGTTGCCCAGGCTGATCTTGAACCTGTGGACTCAGGCAATCCTCTCACCTCAGCCTCCCAAAGTGCTGGGATTATAGGCGTCAGTCACCACGCCTGGCTTTGACTTCATTAAACATAAGAATGTCCTAGAGGAAATGGTACTCAACTGTTAAATTTTACAATTTCCACCTACCTGCCAAAAAAATTATAACAAACCCTAGTAAACATTTTTGAAACAAGAAAAAGCTTAAAAATACCTTGAATGCTTATTCACAAAGATAACACAAGCAGAATATAAAGCACATAAAGATTTAATCACACAATTAAAATATGTAGAAAGTCCTAGATACAGCAACTTATGTAGCATTCTACATCACTTTATGATGACTTAGGGAGCTCATGGAAGGATGCTCAATTCATGACTATAAAAGCTGATAAGTAAAAATCTGCCTAGTCCTTTATCAGGATTAGATAACAGAGACAGATAAGATCAAGTGCAAAATTAACAAGAAATATTACTTCTCCCAAAGACACCTTGAAACTGAAAAATGTCTTAACAACCTCCTTTCTTGAGTGACTACTGTTTTCTTACTCACTGAGATGCTTTGCTATCTAAAATCATAGATTATCCAAAAATGTGCTGTATGAACATATATCAGAAAGAATGAAACATCCCACTCTTGGTTTGTCTAAGTCACTTTGACACAGAGAAGCAGACTTGATTTCCAACCCAGGTGCATAGCTACAGGTAAGGAGTTTCTGAACACAACATTCCAAATCTATGTTAACTTTGTCATTTCCAAGATAAAAGGATGTGGGTCCATTTTGAAGTCCTATTGTTGCCCCTGTTACACACTGCCCTTATTTGTTTTTAGTCTCGCAATTGCTTCCTTTAAATTTCACCTAATTTTTTACCATTCCTCCAAATTGCTATAATAATTTTATCTTTTCCTTTCTTTGGTGAGTTGGCCCCATCATGTCTGCTGTGCAACCTCTTACTGCAACAAGTCAATAAGTCTGACATTGTCAGACTATAACTTTGTCCCTAAAGGTCTTGGGCTGATTAGGATGGACAAAATCTAAGTGACAGCTTCAGCTACAACTCTTCGGTTCTGTGGTTCATGATCATGAAGCGCACATAATTATATGTCACACAAGGACAGAGAAAAGTAATTAGCTGGTTTAAGGAGCACAATTTTAGCTATCATAGAGAAGAGTTCATGAGACAGGAAAGCATAAGTTTTATTTTCTTCAACTAATCAAGGATTACACACCCCTTATATAGTCACGGGGTTAGCCAACTAGAGAAAGATCCAGTAGAATAAAGTTGGGCAAATATCTTCCCATCCTCTCCTCATTGTTTACCATGCTCAGTACCACTGCCTTCACCCCTACCCCCACCCGCCCCCACCCCCATACACCACACACTAAATGGAAAGAAACATTTTGACACTAAATCCATGAAGGTCACTGGAGAGTGATATCAACATTCAGAGGCTTTAATCCTTCTTTGCAGTGTTGTCATGAAAGGGGAAAAAAAAGCTCTTTGAACCACTTGGGAGAAAAATGGAATCAATTTCCTAGAAAAGATTACTATGTGTAAATAATTTCTTTTTGAGATTTATTAGAACATATTTCTTCCACAGAAATTTAGTTATTCAGTCATACAAAATGAAAAATTCACAAAATTTAAACCCTAGATAAAACTTTTTTAGAATATAACAGTATTAGAACAGTAAATATTACCTTAAACTCTGACAACCACTCCTCCACAACCCCTTTCTCTGAAGTGAACATCTTTCCACATCTGTTCTAAACCTTCAACCTGAAAATGAATGTAGAAAAATGTTAAAATTTAGAATACATTTTCTTTACAGTCAGATAACTACAGGTAGAGGTAATTCTATTACATTACTTCTTATTTGTGAAGTTAGTCTCAAACATAAATTATTAGATTCATTTCAAATCCAGTGTGTACAAACAAGTCTTAAGAAGTAAGAAAGTGGACAGAAGTATAAATACCACAACATGATTAAATTGCTACTGCAACTTTCATTTAGCTTCCAAGAATGTCCGCTGCACAACATATTGGACATTTTCCCCGAGTTTCAACTAAATACTTTCAAAATGATCACTTATCTTAAGAAAATTGTAGGAAATACTAAAAACTGTGAAAATATAAAATGACAGACATCCAAAAGTGAATTTAGAGAAAGCAATAAAGTAATTTAATTTGCTTATATGTCAGTCCTTTACAATAGTCACTATCTAGGGAAGCCATTTGGTTTCTTGAAAGCTTAATATTCATTTTTTAAAGTAAAAATGAAAATATTCAAGATAATGACCATATCAACACAGTTATTCAAAATACTGGGATTTAATTGGCTATAACTAAGAAAAAAACACGCTAAAGGAAATGCAAAACAGTTTAAGCTGAAACAAAATTTTTGTCAAAGTACAATGTATTTTTCTTCACCCATCCATATATATGGGAGTAGACTTGGAAATCTGCATGAAGGAAAACTTCAGCTCTATTCAAATTTCTGCATTAGGCATCTTAATTTTCATCAGCTTTTTTTTTTTTTTTTTTGAGTCAGAGTCTCACTCTGTTACCCAGGTTGGAGTGCATGCCCATAGCCACGTCAGCCTCGACCTGCTGGGCTCAGGCAATCCTTTCACCCCAGCCTTCCAGGTAGCTGGAACTACAGGTGTGTGCCACCATATCTGGCTAATTTTTTTATTTACTGTAGAGACCAGGTCGTGCCATATTGCCCAGGCTGGTCTCAAACCCCTGGGTTCAGACAATCCTCTCACCTCAGCCTCCCAGAGTTCTGCAATTACAGGCGTGAGCCACTGTGCCCAGCAACCAGCTTTCTAATGTAGTAGAAACAAGGGCAGAATTGCCAAAACCTGAATCCTGATTCTATTACTTACTTGTCGCCATAACCTTGGGCAAGATATTGGCCTTACTTTTTTGTCTGTGAAATATGGATAGCCATAGTACCTATTGTGAGAATTACATTTTAATATGCAAATAAGAGCACTTTTTTATAGTATCTGGAAACAAAGTGTTATTACTACTAAAGAATATTATTAATTCATAAATTCTACTCAGTTGTCTATCAAAATATGTAGATATACCTTAATGAACAACACAGGCTCTTGCCAAAGAATACATTCTAAAGTTTCTGTTCTCTAAATTCCCATTTTTAAAAAAAGTTGAGAAAAATTATTTTCATTCATTCTTTCATACATTTATTCATGAAGGATTACTTGAGTGATATCCATCTTATTTTTAGAATGAAAAATCATTTTATCATTGGATCAAGTCAGACTAGCAGAAAACCACATATTTGTACCATATTACTGAATTTATAGAAATATGTTTGAACAAACTGGGCTTTGGAATTATGTCAAAAATGTTACCCAAAACACTGCTAGATCTTATTTATTCCCCTTGAAAGTCAACAGAGGAGAAAATGCACATCTTTAGTTTTCAGTAACAGGAAAAACTCTCCTTTAGAGTAACTTTTTTTTTTATTATTATTACAGGTACTGTGAGTTTCATAATTAATTCTCTTTGATTCTAATAAAATTGGGAGCCAAAATTTCTGCCTGCCCTAACTCTGTCCACAAAAAAGCAGACCTAGATTAATTTTATTTACTGTCTTATTTTATGTTATTACTCTTATTTTCTCTCTGCCTGTATCTACTTAGTTTTACCCTGCTGTGCAGATTTGTAAAGCAAAGTAAATATACATACACGTAAGTCTTCTTTTAATACATTCCACTGTTTGGTAAATTAGGACAGAAAGTTTTCACAAATAGAACCAAACTCCATTAACTTACATGGAACTGAGGAGGTAATTTTTTATAAAAATTCAAAATAACTGTCTTGTTAAAATTAAAGTTCATTTTTAAAAGATTAATAGGAATCAAGAGGAATATTCAAAGGACCAAGAATAGTCCAGGGCAATCCTAAAGAACAACAACAGAAAGGGAGGACGTGGACACCCAAGTATCAAGGCTTACTATAAAACAAAAACTAGAGTAACTAAACCAGTGGAGCACTGTCTTAAAGGTAGAAAAACAAATCAAACAGAACAGAGTGGCCAGAAACAGACCTACACAAACACGGTCACCTGATTTATGACAAAAGTAACACTGAGATTCAGTGAGGAAAGGACAATCTTTATAATAACTGGACTTAGGTCAACTGGATAGCTACAGATGGAGGAGGAGAAAAAAGCCATAATCCCCTAGCTCATACCATATGCAAAAACAGTTCCAGTTGGATCACAGATATAACTGTGTACAGTAAAACATAAAGCTTTTAGAAGAAAATTTAAGAGAATATTTTCTTTTTTTTCTTCTTAAACAATTATTGTATCTCAAAATACTGATGAACATAGTACTTTTTTCTACAGGTCATTCTATTCTATGATCAGAATTATTCTCTCCTCTAGTGGGCAGTTATTTTGTGTCCCAAAACTTTCTGTAACTATTAAAATAAATGGTTTTCTTTCTTTCTTTCTTTCTTTTTAAAGATGTAGGGCACAATTCAATGTTAGGTATACAAATGGTCACTGTACAGGTAAAGTTCAGGCCTCACTTTAGTCCTTACTCCACCTGGTTTGAGATGAGGTACCTTGATGAAGTGTGCCCCCACCTCCCCTAGCAGTTTCCCACTACTGCCAATCTGTTTTGTAATATTATAATTGTTCAGAGTTGGCTTATGAGTGAATACATGTGGTACTCAGTTCTTTGTTTCTGTGATAGATCACTGAGTTTTATACACTCTAAATCGGTCCAAGTTGCTGTGGAGTTCATAATTTTGTCCTTCTTTATGGCTATGTAATATTCCATCATGTATATGTACTACATTTTTTTTTATTCAGTCCACTTTTGATAGGCAACATGGTTGGTTCCATGCTTCCGCTATTGTGAATAATGCTGTATGTGCAGGTATCTTTTTCATAGAGTGAATTGAGTAACTCTGGGTATATTCCCAGAAAGGGGATTGCTGGGTCATATGGAAGGTTGACTTTTAGCTCTTTTAGGACTACTTTCAATGACCTTGAAGTAGGCAAAGGTTTCTTAAATAAGAGGAACAAAAGCACTAATCAAAAGGGGGGAAAAGGATGAATTGGACTTCATTAAAAATAAGAACTTCTATGCACCAAAAGTATACCATTAGGAGAATGAAAAGGCAAAGCCATAGAGTGAAAGAAGATATTTGCAACTCATATTTAGGAGAAAAGTCTCATATCCAGAACACATAAACAAGTCTTAAAATGTACTCATGTAGTGGCTCATGCCTGTAAACTTAGCACTTTGGGAAACCGAGGCAGGAGGATCACTTGAGGCCAGGAGTTCAAGACCAGCCTAGGCAATATAGAGAGATCTCATCTCTACAAAAAATAAAATAAAATAATTAGCCAGGTGTGGTGGCACTTGCCTGTAGTCCCAGTTACTCAGAAGGCTGAGGCAAAAGGATCACCTGAGCCCAGAGATCAAGACTGTGAGCTGTGATCATACCACTGAACTCCAGATGGGTGACAGAGTAAGACTCTGACTCCAAAAAAAAGGAAAAAAAAAAAATTTTTTTAAAGGCATACAATCCTGTAGGAAAAACAAGACCACGACTTATCCAAATGGACATCTAACACACGAAAGGTGCTCAGTTTTGTTTAATCATCAGGGAAATATCAGTTAAAACCAACAAAGAGTCAGGCACAGTGGCTCTTGCCAGTAATCCCAGAACTTTGGGAGGCCAAGGCGAGAGGACTTCCTGAGCTCAAGGATTCAAGACCAGCCTGGGAAACATGGTGAGAGCTTGTCTCTACAATAAATAAATAAATAAAAAATTTAGCCAGGCATAGTGGCACGTGCCTGTAGTTCCAGCTACTTGGAGGGCTGAGGCAGAAGGATCACCTAAGTCCAACAGGTCGAGGCTGCAGTATCCATAAGAATGCCACCACCCTCCAGCCTAGGTGACAGAGTGAGACTTAAAACAAAACAAAAAACCCATAATGAAATTCACAAAAGTATGGTTAAAACTAAGAGGGAACGGGCTCGGTGGCTCAGCCTGTTATCCCAGCACTTTGGGAGGCCGAGGTGAGTGGATCGCCTGAACCTGTGGGTTTGAGACCAGCTTGGGCAACTTGGCAAGACTTCATCTCTACAATAAATAAATAAATAATTAGCCGGGTGTGGTAGTACGCGCCAGAGGTTCTGGCTACTTGGAAGGCCGAAGCGGAAGGATCACCGGAGCCCAGCAGGCCGACACTGGGGTGGCCATGAGTGGGCCACTGCACTCCAGCCTGGGCGACAGAGTGAGACTCCAACTCAAAAATAAAAATAAATAAAATGAGCTGGGCTCGGTGGCTCAGCCTGTAATCCCGCGCTTTGGGAGGTTGAGGCGAGTGGATTGCCTGAGCCCGCGGGTTCAAGACCCAGCTGGGCAACTTGGCGAGACCACATCTCTACAATAAATTTAAAAAATTAGCTGGGTGTGGTAGTGCACGTCTGTAGTTCCAGCTACTTGGAAGGCTGAGGTGGAAGGATCGCCGGAGCCCAGCAGGTCGAGGTTGCAGTGGCCGGGAGCGGCTACTGCACTCCAGTCTGGGTGACAGAGTGAGACTCCAACTCAAAAAAACAAACAAAAAATAAATAAATAAATAAAATGAAAGAGGGATCATACTAATTGTTGAAAGATATACAACAATATTTAGACACAGCTATCATGAATGCAAACTGATACAATAACTTGGAAGACTCTTTGACAATATCCTCTAAACTCGAATATACACATACTCTATACAC